AATATAAAGTTTATTTTCTTTCTACCTTTAACTCCCTTCTGATTTTCTCTTTTGTTGTGGTGAATAGACTAATAAAAATATAATTATTAACAAAAATATAAAACCCTAAGCAAATGTCCATGTTGTAACCACCCAAAATGTGTAGTTTACTGAGATATATAGAATTTTAAACTGTGCAAGTGTTGAATGACTTCTTTAACATGACTGTGTGATGTTTTATTTGTGAATTAAGTATAATAAAGTTATAATTAAGAAAGAAAATAAGTAGGTAATTAGAATATAGAAAAATAGACAAATTTTTAAAGAGCAAAGACTGATTTTGACAAGAAATTGTGTAATAATGTTGAGGAAGATGGGGAAAAGCAAAGGGGTGCCTCTGGGTGCTCAGTGCTCACTAAACCCCTGTGACATCTAGTACTACTCTTGGACTGTTGCCTCACTTCTTTCTTGCACCTGTGAGAATTCCTGATCAGTTTACAGTTGGGGGAATTTTTACAGGGAGGAAAAGGAGCAGAGATCAGAGTAGTTTGGCGTAAGGCGTGTTGCAAAGTGTAAAGAGCTCGTCTATCCTCTCTTCCTTTGCCCTCTTCTCTCCCTCTGTCTTTCTCTCCTTTTTTCCTTCCTTTGTCCTTCCCCTGTCATCCCCTCCTTCTTCCTTTCTCTTTTCTTCCCTTCTTCCTTCCTTCCTGATCTTCCTTCTTTTCCTGTTTTCCCCTTTGGAGCTCTTGCTTTCACTTTCTCTCACTTGGGTAAATTAAATGCAAATCTCAATGGTCTTTTCTTAACACAGAAAATATTGCCTATATACAGCTATAATGATACAATAACTGACAAATTAATGATATGAACTACTGAGTTATACAAGTCTCCAAATTCGTTGTTATTACCTTGGTCAATACCATATTTTAGATACTGTGTTTTTTCTTGTGAGTCATTGTTACAAAGTCTTCCTACATCTTTTTTTTTTTTTTTTTTGTTTTGTTTTGTTTTGTTTTGTTTTTCGAGACAGGGTTTCTCTGTGTAGCTTTGCGCCTCTCCTGGAACTCACTTGGTAGCCCAGGCTGGCCTCGAACTCACAGAGATCTGCCTGGCTCTGCCTCCCAAGTGCTGGGATTAAAGGCGTGCGCCACCACCGCCCGGCGTCTTCCTACATCTTAGTTTGCCTTAATCCAAACTATTCTTTACGTAGTTGCCCAAATGCTCTTTCTAAATGGTAGGTCTGATGGAGATATCCTCCTTCCTTACCACTGTTGCTAGAGTCTGTTAAATTTGTATCTCCAAATTATTCTTTCTCTTTCCTCCTTTAGTAACTTTTCTCACCTCTATTACCATATTGGTTAGGCTCTCATCTCCCTTGAATCTTCTTTATGAGTAAATTCTCATTACTGTTTCCTCCCAACTTTTGAATTGGTTCAGGTACATTATTTAATTATCAGATACAGTGTTGAATGGATGGTGAGCATCATGCTAGACAGACAAAACACGTTCAGGAGCTATTATGATACAGTAAGCTGAAATGGAGCCCCCAGTGATGAAGAGCAGATATAGAACAACTATAGTTCATCAAAATGCTAAATGCACCACCACACAAAAGACATGTACTGAACAAAGACAACAGAAGGCAAACTTTTTTGAAATAGTTGCAATTTGAATTCAATTTCATTAAATAGCAGTACTAGTTTTGAAGAAGCTCAAATCCATTTGTAGTTACATGTACAATGTACTTTTTATTGTCTATAATAGACTCAAACAATTAGCCTAGATTATTATAATGAATAATTACAATGCTAGCAAATATTAATAAGACGCTGAGTCTAGTTTTGACTACTGTATCACTCACTGATCTTTAGAAGCCCCATTTTTACTAAATTAATCATTCTACATTGAGTTTCTAGATAATAACTATTAGTAAACGATAAGCTCATCAGTCTATTTAGCTATTCTCATGTGTGATATTATTATATTATACAATTTTAAAGCTGTGCCTTCCTAGTGTTATAAAGAAATGCCCACTGCCTTCTTGGAAGAACCCTGGTAGTGAATGTCTTCCATATCCCATGATGACAGTTGCCACCTCCACATCTGTAATCTCCCTTGAATCATTCAAGTAAACACAGTATCTAGGAAGGTAGAATATTTCAACCAAATTTTCATCCAAGAGCCAGCTCTTTATGGAGTTGTAAAAAGGATGCCATTCAGAGCTCCTTTTTTTTCCAGAATTTTATATTATGCTTTGTAAATGCCATAAATATTTATTTTTCTTTTAGAATTCAAATAGATTGCCCACAAATTGATTAAGCATTTTGTGTTTGTTTTCACCTTTCTCTGTTGGAAAGAGAATGTTTTGATTTGGAAGCAAGTAAATTGAAGTAAGTTTTGAGCTTTAGAAAACAAGTCTACCCTACTGTGTACTGTCCCATGGACAAAACTATCAATTTCAGATTATTCTATTCAAATTCATAGTCGTTTCCCTTTGAAGCCTTCTATCCAGAATTCCTCTGTTTTCATTATGTTTCTGTTGCTGTGGTAAAATATAATGACCAAAAGGAACTTACGGTAGAAAGGGGCTTCATTTCATCTCATAGCTCCAGAGTGAAAGAGTCTATTATTGTATGCAAGACATGAGTCAGGCTAATAAGGCACTTGACCAGAGCTAGAAGCTTGCTGATCACATTTTATCTGCACACAAAAACAGATTGAAAAGGAAGTGGGGACAGGAAATAAACTGTCAAATCCAGCCCCCAAAGATGTACCTCCTAGAGGTTTCATAATCTTCATAAACAGCACCACTAATTAGAGACTAAGTATCCAAATACGTAAGCCTATGGAAGACATGTCACATCCAAACCAACATACTCTTTGAAGTTATTTGAAGTTATTTCTTCTGCTCTGATTTCCTAGTTCAGATAGCTTTACCTGGCTTGGTAAAGAGAATGCAACATAAGGTAGATTATAGTTACTTTGCTCTCAAATGTCAGTTCCGCAGTTGAAGATTTAGTTTAGTGATAGAGTGCTTACCTAAGAGCCAAGGTCTGGGTTCAGTCTCTAGTACTATGTGGAGAAAGTGAGTTCTGAAACTTTAAAGATATATTGTATTTTCTTTTATAGCAAATTGAGAGAAACAGAAATAGAACAATATTGGACCAAGTGACAACAATCTGTTAATTTTCATTGACTGGTTTCTTGTGTCACTCTGACTCAAAAAAGCATTTTAAATTTTAATATAACTATTATAAATGTCTTAAAATGCATCACTCGGGCCACATGAATCAGAATAGAATGACTTTGCAGGATATATGTCAAGGGTAAATGCCTACACAGGCAAGCAAGTAAGTAATAATGAAAGTCATTAATAATTTAAAAAATCAACAGTCTTTCAAATCAAGCCTCTATTATCTTTAAAAGAGCCTTTTAATTTCTCATGTGAGCTATAGCATAAAAATTCTATAGCTGGCTTCCTTCACAGTATGTTCTTCTGGTTCACCACATCACTTTCAATACTGGAAAAACTACCTGGTCAATAATGTTCATGTGAGGAGTTGCATGGACCTATCTAGAGTTTGAGGGTGGTAGGTTCTGAGTATTCAAAATACAGCTCATTACTTTATTATTACAATAAATTAAATTAGAATGCAAATTAACAAATGTTAGTCTCTAGATAATTACACTAAATATTTGTCAATAAGTTGTATTTTTTTGGTTGTTTTCTCTCTCTTTTTTCTTTGAGCTGAGGATCGAACTCAGGGCCTTGTGCTTGCTAGGTAAGCACTCTACCACTGAGCTAAATCCCCAACCCAATAAGTTGTATTTTTAATCATTAAACTATGATTTATTTTCAAGGAAATTCATTGAGTTAAAGGATTAGAATAACATGAATTTTTATAAACATACAATCAAGTAGCCATCACAACAATTAAGATATAAAACATTTCTATCACTCCAAGGCATCTCTTTGGAGTTCCCCTAACCTTGGGTTCCAATGCAGGAAGTTCTGGTCACTGAAAAACATTGGCTTTCTTCTACAAAAGGTTTGCCTTTATTATAATTCATGTGGTGAATGACATAGTGTCTGATTCTGTATGCATGGTTTCTTTTACTTACCATGATTCAAAGGCTCATCCAATTTTTGTGCTGGTATTACACCTTAATATTTCTAAGTAATATTTTTAAATGTATGTGCTGTAGTTTATTTCTACTTTCCAGTTGATAGATATTTGGCTATATTAAATTGTTGTCTAATACAAATATAATAGCTATAGTTATTGAGCACAAGTCTTGCTAGGGACCCAAATTTTCATTTATAGAAGTACAATTGCGGTGGTGTGGTAAAATATGTTAAATATATTAGAAATTTCTAAATTATTGTCATAGTACCATTTTATGTTCCCATCAACAATGTGTAAGAGTTCAGACTTTCTAACACCCTTATAAACATGGGTTATTGTGTGACTTACTGATTAGAACAATTTTACTTGTTATGAAATGATGTTTCATTGTGGCTTCACTTTGTGTTCTCCTAGTGACATTGGACATGCCTTCTGGGTTTACTTGTCATTCTCATATAGAAGTGTTGTTGTTGTTGTTGTTGTTAAGTACCCATTGTCTGTTTCTGGTTGGGGCTCTTGTGGTTGTAGCTGACTAATTTTAATCAACCATTTTTTGCTCATAGACTTGGGGGAGCTCAGGAGCTACCTTCATTGCATATTCTTCTTCCTTTTCAGAACCAGAGGCTCAAAGGACAGAGCCAGGTGCCAAAGAACTCTTTACAGTCTACAGCCCAGTAACTTTTGAGGAAACTACAATTCAGAGATATTACATTCCTATGTGAACAGAAGCATGGGTCTGTTTACACACTTCAAATTGAACACATTTGCCACCCCTTAAGATAGATGATGGATCATATAACATGTTCTTTACCCAAAACGAATGTATTAGTGGTTAGGAGACTTTATAGTTTCTGGACATAATATCTACGGGGAAACTTTTTTTAGGAATAAAAAGTTTTACTTCAGCAGCACATGTACTAAAATTGGAACAATGCAGAGGTTAGCATAGCCTCTATGCAAAGAAGGACATATAAATTCATGACATTTTCTGTATTTTTTGATGTCCCTTAACTGAAAGATGGATTAAGAAAATGGGAGACAGAGGGATCAGGTGGGAGGGGCCATGGAGGGGAAGAGTGCCAGAAAGACTGGTGGAATTGGGAGCATTTGGTGGAAATCTAGCACAGTAGAAACTTCCTGGACTCTATGAGGGTGACTCTAGTGAGGATTTCTAGTAATGGAGAATACAGAGTCTGAACTGGCCATTGCTTGTAGCCAGAAAGACATCCAGTGGTGGGACTGGGTTACATTTTATTGAGCTGTTGGCCAAGGAGGGCCTGTGGAGATTCCTAAACAACCCAAGTTGGTGCTAGGACAGAGAATTGCTCTCTGAAAACTGAAAGTGGGGCCCTATTTTCAAAAACAACATCCACACAGCTCTTTAAATATATAGAGGTCGAGTTGCTGCAGGCTTGGAGCCTCCACCTTTACATTCTAGTCTCTTCAGCAGAAGGTACTCTGCAGGCTATGGAAAGAGAAACCTGGACAACAATCCAGGCACAAACCCCTCCACCTCCAATCTGTCCTGTCTGCCAGATTCGCTGGGACAGTAGTGGCACAGACTTGTGGGAGTGGCCAACCATTATCTGGTTTAACATGAGGTCCCCACCACGAGAGAGAGCCCATGCCTTACACTACCTGGATGGCCAGGAACCAGAGACTAGATAGCACAGAGACCTAGTGTAGAACCAAACACGACTGAAAAAAAATCAATGAAATGATTCCTAATGATTCCTAATGAACATTGGTTCCTTGTCCAGTGGTCATCAGAGAGGCTTCCTCTGGTAACAGACGGGAATGGATGCAGAGATCCACAGGCAAGCACTACACAGAGAGAAAGTCTTCATCAGGTCACGCCTGTCAGAGACCCAGGAACCCGAAGGGAGAAGGGGAGGAAAGACCACAAGTAGGATGAGATGGAGGACACGAGGAGAACCTGGCCCACAGAATTAACGAAGCAGGGCTCACATGGGCTCAGAGACTGAAGCTAGAAGGAGTGGAAAGAGGGGAAAATGTGGTTGGGATGTATTATATGAGAGAAGAATATATTTTCAATTTTTTAAAAAGGTAAAAAAGGATTAAGTTATTAACAATGGTTTGAGATAAGATACAGAAATGCATTCACATTGTAAAATTTCTACTTTAATAAATCATGATTTAAACCATTCTAAATGAAGATTTCATGTTAACCAGATGACATCAATGTAGCTTTTTGATGGAATGGTTGAATATATAGATACAGAATCCAAACACATAGACATTTATAATCATGTCCATTTTAGGATTGGTAAGAAATTTTATGAAGAATCCCTAAAATTATGTTATTTTTAATACCTATAATACCCCCCCATTGGTTTAGAATAACTCTTCTAGAGCCATGTTTTGTTTGATTTGGGTTCTGTCTTGAGCTGTTCTTTCTACTTACTTTCATTCTTGCATTTTACTACAGCTTGTAGTAGAACAGGCCCATAGGGTCAAGGAAATTGGCTCAAACCAGTTGCCAAGGAATGCACATAACATTCTTCCTTATGAACCAACCTGAAGTCCACCTGAGGGCCTAGCAACAGGCCCTGTGAGACTCCTGATTACTGTCAGAGTTCCTGATTGTGCCCAGCCAATGAGGGATGACCACACAATGCCACCAGATTGGGACACAGTTTGGGTGCTGGGAGGAGGGTATGTAAGGCCTTCCCCATTATTAAATAAACGAGTTTGTTGTTTGCCTTCAACTGCCTCCCAGTGTCTGTGCCATTGATGCTGCGCCTTCTCGCCCTCTCCCCTGAGGAAGCCTTTAGGATCTAACAACATCAGATTTTTATCTATTTTTTCTGCAATTTCTATGCATCAACTTCAGGAATCATAATTATTCTAAAATTATACAGAATGCAACTCTTATGTGTAATTTCTGCTTAGATTTATGTAAAGATTTGTAATTTAAAATGAATTATATGGAATAAGTACATTTTCTCATTTGAATGAAAGACATGAAGCAAATTTTCACTGAAAAAAATTAGTTACTAGTGGAGATAGGTGGCTTTGCAGAAGACAATGGCTAAATGGACATTTATTTGCATATTGATCAAATTTATGGTCCATCTTTTAATCAAGTCCTTTGCTATTTTCTTATTGAATCTTCTTATGTCTTCTAAATAAACAAGAAAAAATATTTGTGCTGGATCTTGGCTACCTTTTTAATAAGCATCTATTTACTGTGATTTGTACTTTTGGGGAAATATAAAAAGTAACTTCTTTTGTTTATCTTTATGTAGTTTATATTTGACTTATGATGATCAATCATTTATATATGGAATCTCAATATTGTGTGTAATATGGCTGTGTCTACTTGCTAGAGAATAGTTATCTAAAACTTATCATACTGAAGGCTTTACTTCATTAGGTTTTCATATAGCCTTTAACAGGAATAGTATTACATATATTTTAAATATTGAAAAATAAATTTAAAGCAAATAAGCTTTGCATTTACCTAGTTACTAAGAGGTAACAAGAAAATATTAGCTTCTGTGAGGTGACAGATTTTACTGTGCCAGTTCCTTATGGTTCTGATGCCATGAGGAGAATCTCTGCATTAAATCAAAAGAGACAAATTATATTCAAAGTAAATCTGTACCCATCACTAAAAGGTACACTAAGGTTCAAAGGTGATTCTTATGAAATGCTTCCTGTTTGTAGAATGATCAGTTAAGACACGAACAATCATGGAATGACTTAGTCAAAAAATACTCTTCATAAAACTTTGATTCAAAATATTGGTAATTACAGTTTGAGATTGATTCAACTTTTCAAAAATGTCCCTTGGTTTTAATTCTGGTAATGAAAAAAAGATAGAGAGCTGAAAATCAAATCCTGACAAATTGGTAGACTTATATAGAACTTTGTTTTCTGTTACAAAGTCAGTGTTAAAGAAAGAAGAGTGCTGTGGGATGGTCTGTATGTCAAGTGTGTTGCTGATTGGTCAATAAATAAATCACTGATTGGCCAGTGGCTAGGCAGGAAGTATAGGCGGGACAAGGAGGAGAATAAAGCTGGGAAGTGGAAGGCTGAGTCAGAGAGACACTGCCAGCCGCCATGATGAGAAACAGCATGTGAAGATGCCAGTAAGCCATGAGCCATGTGGTAAGGTATAGATTTATAGAAATGGATTAATTTAAGCTGTAAGAAAAGTTAGCAAGAAGCCTGCCACGGCCATACAGTTTGTAACCAATATAAGTCTCTGTGTTTACTTGGTCAGGTCTGAGCAGCTGTGGGACTGGTGGGTGAGAGAGATTTGTCCTGACTGTGGGCCAGGCAGGAAAACTCCAGCTACAAAAGAGTAGAAAAACACATTAAAAAACAAACCAACTCTCCCATCATCTAAATAGAACACTACCATTATAAGTGGAATGTGGAATATTATTGCCATTTTAAAGATAAGGAGAATGACTCAAATACATCAGAAATAAGTCTTGGGATTGCAATTGTAGATTGTATTTAGTGTACAGTTCATTCCAAAGCCTTGGTAATGTTTTCTTCCATCCTTCTCCCTCTGTACCATCTCCTCAATTTTTATTTTTCCTCTTAGATCCAGCTTAAAGTTTTATTGGTCCCTGTGTGTCTTAGGTGAAAATCACTTGGAAACAGAACAGAAGACAAGGGTTTTAGTGGAGAAAATTAACTGGTAAAATGTTCTCAGGTGAACAGGAGGATGGCAAGAAGGAAAGATCAAAGTGGAAAGGCTGATTAGGGATATAGTCTCCCCAGAGGCTTGCCTCCTTCTATTGCTGGGAGATGTTCAGAGACAAAATACATGAGAATTAGTTGCTGGAATTGATTGATGCTGTGGAACAGGCACTGATGGGTGCATGTGAACCAGTCCGTTACTGCTGGGGGATTGTTCCAATGGAAACCTGCTGTGAGGTTCTAGTAGCTAGCTCTCCAAGCACCATCAGGGAAGGGGCTTCAGACTGGATACCCACACCACCCACTATGCACTTACATTAGAGACACTGTAAGCCTTGTGCTTCACTGAATGCCATCAGACGAGTGTCCCTGAATTCGCGTTTCTGCATTTCCCAGGCTTAATTATGACCATGCAGTGATTGCTAATGACTCTGTAAGATCACCTAGTGGCAGGGCCAGAGCAGTTACTTTACAGAAAGGTGAAGGGTAATTTTTACCTTATCAGTTAGTTATTTGGAATTACATCCAGTGATGTGATTTTCCTATCCTTTAGTTAACACTATGAAAATGTTCCCTTGCATGTGGGCATTGTGTTACACACATTTAATCCCAGTTCTCAGGAGGCAGGAGAATCTCTCTAGGAAAAGTCCAGCCTGGTCTACAGAGCGGGTTCCAGGACAGCCAGGGCTACACAGAGAAACTCTATCTCAAAGAACAAAAACAACAACAACAATAATAAAAAAAATGTTCCCTTGCATAATTGCAATAAAAAGCCATTGTAAACTGGCTTTGTACGACTTGTTCTCTCCTAATCAGCAGGCAATTTGGCAGCATGGAGTCATCATGTAGGGTTTTGATACGTATGTATGTGTGCATGCTTGCATGTTTGTATGAATCGTATTGCTCCAATACGTTACTGCTTCATATTCGTCTGTTTTCTTTTTTTTCACTGTATTTCTCTTTTTCTCTCTCATCATTAAATTAAGAATGAGGCCTTTGAAATCATATTATACTTTACCATGAGTCATCTGCACAAATTATTTACCTAATGAAACCATTCAATAAACATGAACTAAATCCAACCATAAATAATGTTAAATGTAACAAAATTTTCTTGCACAAACAACATGCTATACATTTTTTATTATTGTGATCCATTTAATAAAAGGATTTTTTTCTGATAAGGCCATTTTGCTTGGTGAAACGTAAAAGGCAGGAATTTTGTGGTTCTCCTTTTGATTTGCCCTTCTCTGTTTATGTTGAGTCTGACATCGAAAATAATAGAGTTCAATTCCAGGCAACTGGCTGATGTTAAATGCAG